AGTGATCAAATGCTGTGTCATCATGGCTGCTGCTATTCTCCACATTGTCAAGCAATTGAATGCGCAGACAAAGTCTTTGAAAGCTTTCTTCACTTCGCAGAGAAAAACACTAGGCGACCTTGGAGCTGTCTGGCTGCTTTGGAATGCATTCCTCGCTGCTTCTGATGAAACAGAATGAAACCAGTTTAACTCCAAATAGGCACTTTTATTCTTTAGTTGCAATATGTACAAAACTATATACACTCACCACCGACAACCCACAACTTAGAGGCCGTGCAGCCTCTAAGTCCAGCCTTTTCCTGTGACTTCTTCCTGTGTCACTTGAATTGTTGTCCCCCAAACATGATGACATAATGTGTTTACACTTGGTCTACATGATCTCTGGCACATCCTGACCTTGGACACTGCTCAGATGTTTTGAGTCTCAGCTGCAAACAACTTTCCCAGCTAGCAAGCTGTAAACTGACCTGTAGTACCCTTTGTCACTTTCCCACATCTGGACATTTAAACTCAGGTTACAAATCCCAACAATTTTTACCCCTCGGACTCCATCCTAATAGAAACAACCATCCTCCATAGTGACCAAAATACATATTAATTTGATTAATCATTACTATGTAAATACTGTCATATATAAATACAAATTGCAAAACTGTAAAAAAGGGGAAAAAAAGAAAGAAAAAAAGAAAGAGGAAACATTGATATTGTCCAGAATTTTGCTTCTCATAATTGCTGGCCTTGTTTATATATACTTTCCATTTCCATTCATACAACACAGGTAGCAGTGTATAAACTACATTAAGATTCAGTTTGAATTTGGATCTTGATGTGGAAAAGTACAGCTAACTTATTCATAATGATGGAGAGGAGGCAGAAGCAAGATTTTTGTTTTCTCTACAAACAAAGAATGTTTTCCATTTGGCTAAGTAGATGGAATTTTGTAGACTCCTTTAAATCGGAGTGGAATATGCCTAAAACAGTATTAGCCAAGTTGTACTGTATGAATTCTTTGGTTACAACAGGCAAGCTGTAAAACTGGTGAGAGAACTGAGCATCTAGAGGCTTATTTTTTTTGTTAGAAAACTTAGTATCCTTTAGCAGCCCTGACCAACAAGAGTAAGCTGTTACTTATTTTCTTCTGGACCTCAGTATTCTGACTTCAGTTGTTCAGAGATTTAAAGCAACATCCTCTTAATCTTAAATCTGGGCAGATCGAGCACCTGACTAACGTTCAGAGCCCTACAAGGTGCATGAAAAGAATACAGAAAAAGTTCACTTTGGGAAGGAAACAACTCCCCAAACACTGTGCATAAGTGCTCTTTCCTTCCTTTGCTGCCTGGGTGTCGTATTTACACCCTAGCGACTATAGGTCCACTGCTAGGATCTGTCCTGCCTCTTCCCAGGGCCCAAGCATTCAGAATGATTGAAATTTCTAACCTCAGCCTGACTTGTAGCTTGTTGACCAGTCGTGCCTGCCCAAGGCTCATTTCTGATAACAGGATTTATTTTTTGTTTGGATCCTCCAAGAGTCACCAGTAAAGTGTTTTTTGTCAGTGGATGGTGGATGATGTGTGTTGCAATTACCAAACAGCAGAGTTGTTAGGAAAAGCTGACATCTTCTCCTGCATGGCTCCAGACCTCTTCCTCTGGATCCTGATGACACTGCCTCAGCTCTCCAGCCTTACCAGCAGTCAGGAAACACACCAGTTGTAGTCTAAGGGCCTTTGCAGACTGCCAGAAATAGTGCAAATTGAGTCCACTTTAAGGGTTAGGGTTAGTGCTAGGGAGTCATGGGAATTGTTGTTGTTGTTTTTTGAGACATTGAGCCTTCTCTGTCAGAGAGCTCTGGTGCAACAATAAAATACAGTTCCCAAGATTCCCTAACCCTAACCCTTAAAGTGGACTCAATTTGCACTATTTCTAGCAGTCTGCAAAGGCCCTAAGAAAACTATCTTTATTCTACAACTAGAAATATTTACAGCAGTTGTTTATTTACAAAACAAAGCTTGCAACACACTATACTGTGGAATATGTGTAGAACCTTTCTAACCTTCCTCTCTCACACTGCACTCATGGACAAAGCATTTTGTTGTTCCCACAAGCTACTACCCACTTGGGTGTGTACATTCTAGATGATTGGCTGAGTCCCGTTTTCCCAGATCTCCAGCCCAACCCATGTTGCTGACGTCCTTGTCCATGTGATAAGCCATGCTTACATAGTATGCTTTGGTTAGGATGTGTCCTGTTCCCAAAACACACTGGTGCTTTTCTTTTTCAGTTCCGTAGTTGTTGTCTGACTTGACACCTGTTGTTTGTCTGCCCCAAACATGTTTGCAAACTCTTCCCACAGGAAATTTCGCCCCATACATCTTTTACATTTCCAGGCTGACTGTATGTCCCATCAAGCATTTCTCTGTCATTTTTGCTTTTTACACTCCTGTTATTAGAGATACTGGAGCAATTACATACAGAATCATGATATTTAATGACTAGTTTGAGTGACTCACAGTGAGTCAGTGACAGGAATAATGTGGTTTGCTAATTCAGGGACTTTATTTAGATTCTTGACCAGTATGCTGCTTCAGTCTTCTTCCTCCATGGCCATTTCATCTGTGTTTATACAGTATGGTAACTAAAACGATTGCCAATAAAAGTCAGTTTGCAACATTTAATGGGAACATTCAGACAATCTCAGGTTGATGCATTTAGCTCCCTCCCAGAGGAGGAGGAGGAGGAGGAGGAATATGACGGAATTCCAATTAACTTCAGCAGTTTTGCATTTTATTAATAGATGTGAACCAAGGAATTGTCTAAAAGAAACTCCACACAATTGTTAAACTGGCCATCAATTTACCCTGCCTTTTTTTTTTTGCTAACATGTTTATACAAAATAGAAATCAAAGATATAGCTGTGTTAGTCTGTAGAATCAGAGATGTAGAGAGATTTTGTAGCACCTTTGACACTAACGGCCTTTACAGACTGCCAGAAATAATGAAGCTTGAGGCCACTTTAACTTATCCTGGCTCAGTATTAAATAATCATGGAAACTGTAGTTTATTGTGGCACCAGAGCTCTCTGACAGA